TTGTGGGAAATACAGGGCACTGCACATCGCGGCCTCACCCTCCGCGCTTAGGCAGCTTGCTTCCAGTGGGGCGGTGAGCTGGCCATCGAAAGGCACTACCTGACAAAAGCTAGGGTTTAGGGTGTAGGGAGTTTTGGGCCGTCCAAACCTCAAAATCCTAAATCGATTGTTGGGGTTGCCTTGAAATTCAACGGAACCTAAGGGACCCTGGGACTGGGAAGGGATGGAGAAACTTCCACAACAGAGTCATGGCTGAGAACTCCTGGACCACAGGAGGGATTGGAGGAATTGGGATAGGGTTTAGGGTCCTAAATCCTAAGCCCTGAAATGAGGGTTGGGGGCCTGGGGACTGGCTGGGGGGTTAACTTGCAGGCACTTCTATTCGGATGCATTTCCTCATTCTCCACTTAGCACAAGATCAAAGAAAGGTACCACAAGGTGTATGCTAGTTCAGGGGTTTAGGGGTTTGCCACTTGCATGGCCAATACAGCGGCGCAAGGTTCCAATCCGCCACTGCAACTCAGGGAAGAAGGAGCAGTTCCCATCGGAATCCAGTACAACCCAAATTAGGGGTTTGGGGTTTAGGGTTCAGGGCATATAGGGCAGCTCGGCACAAGTTCTTCTGTCACCCATGATGATCAAGCTACTTTGTCAGCGCTTGGTTTGTGGGCATGGCCATAATCTTTGCCAGGCTGTGACTTACTACCTTCTGCCAACTCCCCAAAACCCTAGACCCCAAACTCTAAGCCCTGTGTGGTAGTTTAGGTGAATAGTAAAACCCCAATGCAGACCCCGCCCAATATACCATAATCCCGATTTCAGGGACCCCCGAAAGGTATCGCTGCATCGGGAAACTCCCAGAACACTTCAAGCGCGCAAATCTAAGTTAAGGGATCCTCCAGGGTTTACTAGGGTAGGTTTGAGGGCCCTATAAAACTTGAACTTGTATGGCTATATAATTTCTATATAGAGATCAAGGGTAATAAAAATAATAATGGGTGACCTGCAGACTTGGCAAGTAGGCTCGTCTTAGGGTTTACCCTCTCCCTCCAGACTGAGATCCTACTTTCATGGTTACAATAAAGCAATAAGTCTAGCGTTTAGGGTTTCGGTTAAGGGGGAATATAGTATGTCACCTGAATCCAGGGTCTCTCAAAGTAGGTCAATGGGTTCATGAACCAGGCCCAGTCGCTATGAGGCTGAAGACGGGGCCCTCGCCTGCAAGTGACGTAGCTTGTGGGTTGCCAACATGGGACCCTGATGTTGGGAACTACGCTTGAGAGCTTTTTCTGGGGGGAGGAGGGTTCTCAAACTATTCGAGTGTTCAGCGATCCTACTTCGACGTACGCAAGGACCTTTTCCTAGAATAGCTATATCGAAAGCTTACAAGTTACAAGTATCTACACTTGTCTTATTCACGTTGTTGCTTTCAAGCCATGCAACTGCACCAGAAAAGCTTTTGCAACATCCGCAAGACTGTGGAGACTACAATGGTTGATGAAAGCCCAAGGCAGGAATGCCTGTAATACTCTGTTTCATAAAGCTCCTAATGACCTAAGGTGCTTGTTGACGTGGAATGAGCCGACGCCACTGCCACTGTGGCCACCACCCACCCCCAACCCATTGCCGCCGCCGCCACCACCACGGCCACCGCCACCCCTGCCCCTGGCGCCGCCGCCACCACCACCGCCACCAGCACCAGCACCAGCACCAGCACCAGCACCAGCACAAATTACTATGGTAGTTATTGGAGCGATATCTAGTTTCAACCCACCGCCCCCGTGCCCAACCCGGAGCACCAGCAAAGCGTCAGCCGGTGCTCCAGCACAACTCCCATGGCCCACCGACAGCACCGACACTAGCACCCACAAAAGAAGAGCGACGAGAACTTCTGCCATAATACTTTCTTGAATGACTGCAAGGGCGCGAGTGAAAATGGCTGCTACACGCTGGCCTGGAGGCGCATGACAAGGTGGCAGCGTGAGTGCCCAGCCGGCAGGGCACATCCTGGATTGAAGGACAACTGTCCAGCTACATAGACAAATTCTGACTGCTTCCAAATAGACTCCCAGCAACAATTCACGGAGATATACTTGCTTCCAGAGCTATCAGGCTCCTGCCCAGACATCGCATGGTGGCCATATCGTGCCAACGCGGCGCGGATTCCTTGCCGAAGAAAGGCAATGACAGAAGCAGGGCCCCACTGACTCACATGGGTAGTTCTCCCAAGAAAACGAATACTGCCGTAACCAAAGAAAAGGCCACTCCGAAATGGACCCACACCTGTCAGAAACCCTCGAAAGGAGGTTCTCTCCTTTGACTCTGTACCATCGTGAAGCGCACTTCAGCACGATCTCCATACAACCCTCTAATGCGCGGCGGTGGGGTCTAGTGTACCAGTTGCCAATGTTTTGGGTTTACAGGGCTTGTTCCCGAAAGCTCTCTTAAATGGCTGCCTCGGCGAGCCAGCCAGCTTCTTCCAGTTGCTCCTGGGTTCAGCATGACAGTGCAAAGGGGAAATATTGGGCTGCTGTTTAGAGACTTGGTTAAAGCCACCGTAAGAAGGAAACCCCATTACTTTGCTATATACCCATACTATAACAACTTAAACCCTAAAACCCTTAACCCTCCATATACTCATATTGTGCTAGCTTGGTTCAAGTTCCTTAACAGCAACCCAGAAAAGGCAGACACAGGGATCCGTATCTGGCCTCCTTACGACCTGGATGCCAGAAGCTCTAGCAACAGCTCGAGAGTCCCCATAATAGAATTATAGTATTTGAGGGTCTGTACTTTGGTCCCCTCTTTTGTATTTTGGAAACAACCAACATCTTTTGAGGGCGCTGAATTTTGGAAATGTAACCACCTCATTGCCATGCAAGATTTCTCAGCCTATCCCAACTATGCGGTGACTTCTGATGTCCTGCATGTGTACATGGCCATCTGGCAACTTACAAGCAGAATCTGGCAAGCCCTAAGCTTCAAACTGGCCGAAGAAACTCTTCAATTCGAATGCCCGAAGGCCAATACCGGGCTTGCAGCGGACCCTTGAGCCGAAAGTTTGCACCATTCATCTCTGAACCCAATAGCCTATGTGCCGAAAACCACAGACAACGTACGCTTGAAGATGAGGGCTGGCTCTAGCAACTTTCGAACGGAAAAACAAACACAAGATTTCAACATGCAGCAGTTTAGGTTGTGGTGTCGTAGTCCCCCAATCAAAAAACACCGGACAGACCACACTTGATGTTATGTAGCACCTGTACAACCCCAATCTAACCCCAACCAATATAGCCCGGTGTAGTAGATTCCGTTTTGCAGCCCCCATATAACCCAATATAACCCCAAAATCGCCATGATTCTGAGGAGCTGGGTTTCCTAGGAATGCGCCAGGGACGTGTTTGAAACTCCTCTATACCTCTATACAACATCCCTACTATTACATCTGCGGGTCACCCATGTAGATCCTCATGGTCGCCCTAGAAATTCCCCAACCCCTCCAAAAACAGAAAGAGAGAGAGAGAGAGAGACAGAGACAGAGGGGCAGGTTTGAATTTCTAGTGCTTGTCACCCTTAATCCCTATCAAGCCATGAGATGCATAATTTTTATATTATAGGGATCCCAAACCTACCCTAGAAAGGTGACCCAGGATTCTGACATCAGCCTTGGCGCAGCCCAGCTTGGGTGGAACTTGCTGCCAGACCGCCTCTCCGTGATGACGTAGACGTGCGCGGACGCGTCGGTTCTGACCTTTCTTGTGGGTCCAAAGGTTGTAAGGATTTGGGTCATAGAGCTTTATGAAACTCAGTAGGGTTCATGTCCGGAGTTTTGGGCGGGTGTTGGAGCCTTTTTTTCACTTTTGGTTTCTCTTGGCCCTATACAACTTCTGTTCATTCTAAGCTTTGAAGGTTCAGGTTTTAAGGGGTTAGGGTGTAATTAGTTGGGCAAAGGGCTCCAAAACCCCAAGCCCTTAGCCCTCTAAACGCTTTAACCACTGGGGTTTGTGGTTTCAAGGTTGCTTCAGGTCGTGGAGTTCAAGGGTCTCAGGAGTTCAGGGCCAGCCACGATGCCTCCATATAGATAGCCGAAACCATACTTGCAATTGCAGCTAAGTTGACAGTCATAAAGCAAGCCCTGTACGATCTCTAGTAGTGACCCCCCCACAAGCCCATTGCGAGTGTAGCTTGGGCTCTTTTTGAATGCATCTACGTGCCGCAAAAGAACTTGGAGGGTTAAACGCTAAACCCTACATGGATCCCTAAATCCCAAAAGCCTTAAACCCTAAGCCCTAAGATCTTCTGTGCTGGGAGTGCCCTGCCCTGCCCTGCCACGGTCTGTGCATAGCACCTGGTGCCAAAAACCTGCCAAGGCACAGTCAATACCGTGTCCGCAGGGATGTCCTTGAAGGGGCCCTGGAAGATGATACCGCCTTTCAAATATTCCTTGGCTGGGGCAATTACGGATTCTATAGGCTATATATGTGTAAGGTTGTATAGGGTTGAATAGGGCTAAAGAGGGTATCATTATAGGGGTCATATAAATGTAGCCTTTCAAACGTTCTTTCGCTGTACTTGGAGGGTCAGCGGGACTTAGTAACTGGCTTAATAGCGGGGATAACTAGGGTTACTATATGGGCTCTAGGGGTTATTAACCTACTTACGTAATCCTCGGCTGGGTCTATTTGCGGCTGCTTGGGATTATATCGGCTATATATAGGCCATATATGAGGTTATACAGGGTTATTCAGGGCTATATAAAGTTATGTCTGTAGGAGTTATATAAATGTTGTCAGATGTGTCAGCTTGAAAAAGGCTACGTATGGGGCTGCTATTTACCATGCTTTCTTACTCGCAAAACATGCGAGCACCAGCCACTCATTAGGCCAGTGTATAGGTTACAGAAGCCTTAGCTCAACCAAGAAGTGCGTCCCTGATCCAAAGTCTTGGGCGCTCCAATTTCAACCTTCTGTCGTAATTAACACCATGACTGCCCGAGGTGCTGGCACATCCAAGTACTTGTGGTCTCGGTCTATCCAAGGTGTCACTCCTCAGAAAGCCGCGAAAGGGGTGTGCATTGATGGTTTCTGTGGGGGCTTTAAGTAATTATACCCCTCAAGGGGACCCTCCTGAGCAGCAGATAGAGGGCTCCCACAACTCCCGAACAAAGACCCAGAATCCTGAAGCTATCCCTTTCTAGGATGCCGGGGCACCCTCTTCCATGAGCGCTGTTCGCTCATATTGCAGGGAGTTGCTAGAGGAGACGATGATGCCAACGCTGCTGGTGGTGGCCACTTTCACCGCCACCGCGAACGCCAACGGCACATCACCTCGCATCGTGAGCAATGAATCACGATTAGTTCCAGGGCATGTTTCAGATGCTATTATAGGGGCATGCTCTAGTCAAGCTGCAGGCAGTCTTCCCCCTCTGCATGGCCGTTGTTTCTTTCTCTTGGAGACACAAGAATGCCTATCACCGCCCTGATATCTTCAAGCACCACAAACCTACAACAACGGGACGGAGTGCAAAGCAGCAAGGCGGTATGGACGGGACCCAAATTCCTGGACTTTTTCATCTTTCTTTTCCACTCTAAACCTGGAGACCCCTATACATAACCAACCCCCCTTTTCAAGGATCCAAGGGTACCTATACACCCCTGTATATCTTTTGATGCCCAGGCTCCTCTGATCTCCTGGACTTCTGGCAAGTAAATTGTTTGGCCAGCACGCACCAATGTGCTGAACATCACCAGGTCAGGTCTAGCAGGCCGCTTTCCGCCTTGCACAGCCACGCGGTTTAGGTTTTAGGGTTTAGCGTGAATAATGTGGGATTTTTGGTAACCCCCAGAATTAGAACCCTGGAGCTATCATGTGCTTATCCTAGGGTCCTAATTGAAGGTCATTAGGACCATTGGCTCCATTTCACAAGGCAATATTTTTTCCAACGCTCGTGCTGGGCAAACATGTGTGGTGCTATGGGTGCGCTGGAAATGCTGAAACTGAAGAGACAAATCTACACGTGTTCTACAAAGTACTTGTTCAAAGCACCTGTCCCCAAATAGCCATCCTGTAGGTTCTCTGCTTGATTAGGATCCCCCTTTACGAAAGTGTAATCCCCATGGTCCCTTCTTTACAGGGACCTCTAGAACAACCCGGGCATGCACTAGGGATGCTTATGGGTTTAGGGTTTAGGGCCGAGGCATAAGAGGGAAAACAAGAAATAAAGGAAGAGAGTGGAGGTGATGCAGCCTCTCCAGGGCCGAATTACGTCTCACAACTGGTTATAAATATTTTCCATGTCTAAATGCATAATGAGCATGCTTAAGAACATAATTAACACCTCAAGCTAGACCGCAAAAGATAAGCGTGAACATGTCTGGCACTCTCACAACCTAAACCCTAAACCCCTAAACCGTTCTGGTTGCCAGCCAACTTGGAACCCCCAACCAAGGCAAAAGAGTTTATAGCGGGTTTGTAAACAATTCTCGACCCCCTGATCGAAACGGAAGAATGGTTGAACGAACCTCTTGTTGAAACTGAAGGGTTTGTCTTTACAAACGAAACAGATTTTAATAATGTCTATTTCTATTCATATTTCCTCCAGCAGCGAGACTTGATTAGAAAACGGAAGGATTAACTAAACCAAAAGCTGCGAATTCACAGGCACCTCAATGAAAATCTGAGCATTACCACAAGATTTGTGGGCGATCTTTTAAATTTTCAGGGTCGGGGGTGGGGGGTCTAAGTTGGCTGATGATCTTGGACCTCCACAATAAGAACAATATTCTGAGAAGCACCCACATGTGGCATCTGCCCCATCCCAAATGAGCTATAGTCTAAACTCCTAGTATCCCCCGTAAAAACCCCTATAGTAGTCCCGTATAGAATTCCCCCTATACTCCCTTTTGAGCCTTGTAAACGCCTTTTTTGGAGTTTAGACTATAGCTCAAAGGACCTTTGAGAGCTCATGCGCCTTCTGGGGCCGGGCGCTGCCATGTAGGCACCTCCTCTGTTCAGAACAGCACATATAGTCCCCCTGAAGTAAATAGAATATGAGATACATGCGAATCTTATGATAATATACCCAAAGCCATATTCTGTCTACTAAAGGGGGACTTGCGGCTACCGTCCAGTTTGTGTACTGGGGTATCTCACAACCATACCTACATACTCCCTGATGGGCCCTTGCATCGCCCCGCCCCATTTTTCTTCCCACCCTTGGCATCACTAGCAGTACCTCATTTCAACAACTCCCATGTAGTCATTGAATTTGCAGGACATAGCCAACCCTAAACCCTAATTACTAGCGGAGCGGGGCCACTACTGGATCGTCAGCTGGTGTTGATAACACTGCGTCTATCCAATTTTCGTCCGAATAGCGCAGCCGGCTCATTTCCCGAACACATGCAAGGCCACCAATCATATACATGAACAATACTGTTGTGTCCAAAAACGTGTAGATTGACGGTTTAGTGGTTCCAGGGACCCCGTAATATGAAAGGGTACAGAAATACAGGGGCGATACCTTCGTGTTCACATATATAAACACATATAGATGTATACGTAGTAAGGATGTAGATGCTGAGCTTTGGCGCTCTTAGCATGCTTGGTGTGCCTCCCTCACTTCTATCCTGCCACGGATCGAAGGATGCAAGCCTTCAGGAAAACTATGTTAAGGGTTTAGGGGTTATATTGGGATACTGGAAAAGAAAATGGAAACTACTGTAATTTGATAGAGCATATTTAGCATTGCCTTGGTGGTTGAACCAGGTAAGATTACATTGTTCTGATAGTAAACGTATGCCCAAAAGGAGGATACAAATATCCCTTTAAGAATACTCCTCATGGTCGTTTGCTCCAGACTTTTTTGGAGAAGTATATCTCAGGAAAACTATAGAGTCCAACTCCTAGCCCTAGAGCCTATCTCTTAAACACTAAAGCCTAGCCTACACAGGGGCCTGTTGAAATTCTGGTGCATCTTAGGTATCCAAGAAACTGGGCCGGCCCGCAGTATGCCAAGGGATCCACAAAAAAAACACGTTGACAACCACCACATCCTAACCCTCCAAACCCTAAACCGATAAATCCATAAACTAAAAACCCGGAATGCTAGACCCAAAACCTAAACCCTGAATCCTACACTTAACTCTACAATCCTCCTGAACATTAAATCCTAAACCCCAACCCTGAATCCTAACTAAACCCTTAGCCCTAAATCATGTGGGAACGATTCGGTCCTCGCCCTCAGAGAGCCAGGCAGGGTGGTTGGCTAAGGCAGAGGCCAATGTGCCTCATCATGAAGTACCCCTGAAGTAGATATAGGGTTTAGGGTTTAGGGTCTAGGGATCTATTTAGGGTTTAGGGATCTATTTCAGTTTTCGGGTAGGTCTAGGGTTTAGAGATCTATTTAGAGTTTAGGGATCTATTTCGGTGTCAGGGTAAGGGAGACTTATGGAAATACTTGTATGGGTGTCTTGGGCTTCGGGCTTTTGCAAGGGTCGTATGATTCGAATGGGTTGCATGATTTCTTGCACTACAAAAATCGATGTAGCCCTTGAAAGGGAGTGTACTCGGCTCTGCAAGAAAGTCGGCAAAGAATCCTGCCGTTACAAAGATTTAGCACAAAGCGGTCGCCTCAGGGCTTTATACTGCTCGTGATTCGTGATGCTCTCACCCGAAACCTCAACTGTTAGGCCCTAAAACCTTGAATATCGTCTAGAACTTGAACCTTAACACACCCTAAAGCCGCTCCAACTCTTCAACCGTAAGCCCTGAATCCTCAAACCCCACACTGGAAAAATATGGTATATTACAATAAGATCCCCGGATACCCCATATTCCATCTACCTAAGGGGGACTATAACCGCTAAACCTAAATAGTAGTTTCCATTTTCTTTTCCATTCTCCCTATATATCCCATATTTATAAAACCTGATATTCTATCGACTTAAGGGATATTCTATCGACTTAAGGGGGACTATACCCTAAACCCTAAATAGTAGTTTTCATTTGCTTTTCCATTATCCCCATAAAACCCCTATCAAGCCCTATATTCTAATTCAGGGGGACTATAAACCCTGAAGCCCAAGCCTTGGGAACTGCCGGGTGCACTCGGTCCCGGAGGCGGCACCTCTACCACCACGTAGAGGCGGGACTCCTGTCTTGCTTTTGGAGACAGTTATGGTTTGGGGTTTAGGGTGCAGGGCTTCAAAACGATTAGTGAGCAGGTCTCTCTAAAAGGATGTTGGGGGTATATGGGGCTACGTGGGAGTTTATCGGGATATTGGTTTCTTTGGGACTCCTTTTTCTTGACAATTCAGAGAGCAGGTGCCTTTGAAGGGGACATCCGGGTGCTATAGGGGTTATATGGGGGTTATGTAGAAGTTGTTGGGGATATATTTGGATTCTGTAGGGTTTTCAGAGGATATTACCCGCAAAATGGAGAAGCACATCCACAAGGAAACTGGGAGCTAAAACGGAAACTGGGATTACATGATCGTAGTTTACAGGGATGCCGGCCTCCTAAAATCAGGGGCCTTTTTGTGGGTCCCCAGAATAAGGATTGCAATGTATTGGGGTCTATCTTGGGGCTCCCGGTCTATGGAAACCCCAGATACAGTCTTGGGTGCTTACCATTTCGGGTCTTTCGCCTTTCGCTATGGTTTATACGGGGGTACAACTAGAAAAAAGGTTTGAGCATGTTCGAGGTTTCGTTAAGTTCTAAGGGTTCAGAAACCTATGAATGCCTGGAGGTTCCCCTATTTGAGGTTCCAAGTGTTGAAATGGCAGGGGGTGAGGAGGATACGCTAGTTTGAATGGATACATGTAGTCCCCCCTAAGTAGATGGAACATGGGGCATACGGGGATCTTCTTATGATTTGCCAAAGCCATATTCTATCTGCTTGAGGGGAACTCTTTATGCGTCCGCGCTCCGCGTTCTCAGCCCCACCCCTCCCCGCCCCCCATGGTATGGTCCCCATCTGGGAATATGCCATATCTATAACCTCCCAGAACCATGAACTCTCCGCAAACTTCTCTAAAACCTTCTATCAAATCCTCTATAAACCCTCACCACAGGAGCCGGACCATAGGACCACAGGACCACTGGGGGGGGTACCTTCATAGGCTTCCACTAAAGACTCTACAAATCCACCAACCCTCCAGAAAACTTTAGAAACCTTTTGCAAGCTGTCTATAACAGCTATAAATGGCCCACATTACACCACATGGGGCCGAAATACAAACTAGGAGAGGGTCAAAAGGACTGCTGCGCTCATAGCTAGGGCTTGCGATCTGTTCTTAGAGCTGTTCAACTTCCTGTGTGGATTTTGAATAAG